TGGGACAACGACAGCCGGTAGGATTGACAATCGACGCGAACTGAATTCACATTCCCATGACATCGTCGGTGGAGCTCTACCGATAACGAGCTCCGAAACTTTCTTTCAAAGAAATTTTGCAGAAGGGCGCGTACACGCTCGCGACTCGCGTTCACCCGCACGGAGCGGCTCTAACCCGCTGACTGCCGGAGTCGCCCCTTTTCCACCCGCCGCGACCCGTCAGCCCCTAACCCGGAGGCTATCCCCTAGTCCCCGCGCGGTCGACCTACCGTCACCCACCTATCCACCCAACTACCCAGCGCCAGCACCACCAACTCTACTACCATCACCTCCGCCGTCACCTTCGCGAAACCGCCGCTCTTCCCGCCGCCGTGCCGGTGTCTATTACCGTGGTAATGCTGACCCGTTACCGTCTTTTGCTCATGTACGGAATCTTCCAGCTACCCCTTTTTTTTTCTTTTTTTATCCGTTGTATTTTTTGAAAGATAAATAAATCATGTGACTATCGGTTTCCAATGTCGCCATACGGCACCAAAATTAAAGAACTACCAGTGAGCCATATTTCTAATTTGAAAAAATTGAGGAATGGCTGCATTGAAATTTGTTTGTACTAATTCATTCATCATTATAAGAGTAACGCGATAAATTGCTAACGTGTCTGCAAGTGTAAAACATTCTACAGGAGATATATGATACCCAGACGAGCTTATATAAGGGAACCATGCAACTTAGATTTAAAAGCGCTCGCTTCAAATAGCGGAGAAATATCGTAATGCGAAGACATGAAAATGTCTTTCAGCGTCGAGCTCCCATCTCTCTCAACGGCCGAGTCGAAGGCTTTTCAACTTTCAAAGATCCTTCGAGAAAAAGAACGGATAGAACCGACGTAAAACGGAACGGAAGAACTCGTCAGTCAATCTAATAGCTTTTTACGCCTTATTACTCATCGTTGCGCTCAACCGAATAGCGATTGGAATAGGAAAATGCATGTAATACGTTCAGTCAAATTCGAATAGACCAGCCGGGATTTACTAGAAAGAGATTCGAACAGTGTCGTAGTTAATACAGCGGAAGAGAATACGTTCGTAAATCCCTGGAACTTTTAAAAGCCAAGTACGTCTTTAATTCGTTTGCACGAAGATGGCGAGGATCAGAAACGATTCGCTGACGTATAAAAAATTTTGGTAGTTATGCTATTGAATTCCAGAACAAAGATCGTCAATCGTTTTGTTTAATTGGATGAATTTAAGAAAGACAAAAACTTTCATATTTATAACATTGCGTAACTAATAGCATCCAATACTAATATTTTATAAAAATTATAACATATTCTTATCTTTTACATGTGAATTCTAAAAGTGACATTAGCCATCAGATCTGACTTCCTAATTTTCTTTTAACAATTTTAAACAAGTTAAGAGTTTGTTTAATGTATTTTCGTACATTTTAGATAATTTTAAAATAATTTTTGAAGATGTCACATCTCAAAGTAGTACAAAAATACAAAAATTTCGTAGATTGTTCTACTACATCTTAATAAACAATCTTAATAAAAAAAGGCGGATATTAAATTTTTATAAGCACAAAGCAATTCTGAGATGTACAAATTAATATTAATAATATATAATATATCATATATATTAAATAGCTACTTAAGCAGAATCGAGTGATGTATTATGGGAAAATGTAGAAGCAATCGTTTTTAAAGACAATAAATCCAAAAGATATTAAGTAAAATATTAAGATATTCCTGGAATTAAGCAACAAAATTGTCTTTGATTACAATTTCCATATTCTTATTTCCCTAAATAAACAATATATCATTCGATTTTACTTAAATAGTTTTAATATGATATATAATTCTTTTTAATATGATATATAATTCACACAAAACTTCTTCATATTAACCAAAAAACATAACATTCCTCCTTTTAACATTCTCTTATTATTGGTTTAAAAATTACATTTATTTGCATTGATTCATATGTAAAATCGCGTTTCATAATATTTACTTGAACATTTTATAAAAAAGTATTACAAATTAAATCAAATTTTTCACACATACTAATAAAACTCCAATAAATATTTGAAAAATTTATTTAGACCCGCATACTTATTTACTTAAAAATATAAAGTGTGGTCGTTGAGTTGTATAAGCCGTTACATAAGTCAAATTATTAGTTGTTTTGTTTTTTTATTGTTAGTTTTTCAGCATACACAATTAAAATTTCGTAAAATTTCGATCAATTTTTTTATAATTCTTCGTTGTTTATTTTTTAGCTTGTACTGCCAAAATGTCATTAAATATTGTAAGATATTTAATTTCACTATACTAGGCTATTACTTATAAAGCAATAAGAGAAAAAAAAATTGTATAAAGATTTGTGAACATATTAATATTCTTCCAATTTGAATCTTCTGTTTTTAAAATAAGGCTTTCATATTTAAAATTTAAAATCACATGCATTCACTGTAAATATAAGGAAAAAAAGTAGATCTTACTAATTAGTGGAATGTACTCAGCTAATATGTGTTACATTAGCATCATAGAAGTGGATGTGAATCATGCGAAAGCGAGGAATTGCGCTTTCCGTGGTCCGTTTGATCACGATCGTTTGATGATGGCACCAAAGAGACCTCGAGAATCTCCTTAATGATAAGACAGACCATCAAAAATAGAAAGAGAATGATCTATTCGAGAAAGTGCGTTGTACCAAGAAATCGGTACGTCGATAGCAAACACTCTATAGCTAGCGCGCAAGTTACATAATTATGGGAGTTACATAAAATACTACATCTTATCATGACAATTTGCAAATATCGTTGGTATTAACATATTAATTATTATAGAGGTCATTAACATTATGACATGTCTCATTGATATGTATACAAGATACAATAAATTTACAAATTAATAGTTAATGATAATACATAATATACATAATATACTAAAAAACTATTTAATAAATGTACAATGTCACACATTTATCGATCACAATAGTAGATGCATGATCTTAATTAATTTTTTGCGGAGCTAAAGAAAAGCTGCACAATGTGCAACACATTAATAATAATAACAAAGAAAAACGATAACAGATAATTACAGATAGAGATAAATTATAGTTCAGTTATCAAGTAAAGTACATAATGTCACGTTAAATATATACTATTGACATAGAATTTATTATATAATAAAATTTAGTATTCTGTGTTCTATATACATCAAGTTCATACTATAGAATGCTGTAGAAATGATGCTATAGAATGCACAACTGGTCGTAATCTAAATTCGCAAACTGTTTTTGAACAACGTTTACCGATAATATTGGTGGTACCGAATGTCGGTTCTCTCCCTTAAATGATCTCTATAATACGACCGCATCGCGGTAGATTACAGGCAATTATATCCGTCGTTCAGACGAATCGTAGCCATGTAGTTGGAGATCAACGTGGGTTATTTGGCATCCCTGAGGGCAGTCCTGTACAATCCAAGAACTTCAATATTTGGTATAGGTATATACCCCTGTATACCATCGGGATAGTCTTCGAACCGGTTTCCCCGTATGCGGCTTGATGACGTGCAAATTGGGTTACTCGCCCACGGGAATCGCATAATTGAATTTTGTCAGGTGTGCTTATTATCGAGCGCATCTTCCAGTCGAGCGATGGAATCGAGATTTTCGGCGCTCGATCGTGCCTGATTGCACAATCCTTTCCCAATTGAAACGCAATAGGAAAATCAATACATCACGTTAGGTAAGATTGCCACGTGCATTCGTTTGCATAGCTAATTTGCGTAAGCTTATAGTAGAACCTGTGAAAGCAATATTCATCAAATTATCGATTTATACTTGATTATTTTGATTAATATTAATGTTGAATCAAAACGAATTCACCGTATTGTGTAAACTAACCCATTTCAATCACCATAAAAATCAAGAAATCCGTATATTTTTAATAACTATTTAAGAGCTTGTAAAGTCGTTCACTCCTACCGGCTTGCTGGCACACGACATGAGTCTTCACTTTGTAAGTTCCTTCTGTGCAGGAAGTCTCATGTAATTCACTAGCGCTACTTGTAGCAATATACCGCCTTCATCTACCTAGAAAACGTTCCTCCAGCCTGTTCGTACTCACAGAAAATATACTGAAGACATGTTCACTATATGTCTCCCTATCTCATAAGCAATAGTAGATAAAGGAACTAAAAATATGGTCTTGAATTCGCGCGATATCTGACATTATTTTGTATAATTATATTTACTTAGCATGCAAATGCATAAACAAAAATGCAAATATATAAATTCCAGTTGATATATTATTTAAATTTTGTCAAAACACACATTCAGAGAAAAACAGAGAGAGAGTTCAAAATGGACATCACTAAAGTTATTGGTTAAAGTGAAATAATATGTTTTCATTGATGATATAGAAATTATAGATCAAGTATCTATAATTCTAGTCAAGTATCTATAATTGTAATAATGTAAGTGAATGTATTTAACTAAGAAACTATGCGCATCTCAGACTCCCAAAAGCATAATAATAATAACTACAAAGATGACAACTATACAAGTTTTATATGTATATACATAGCTGAATAAATTACTATATAGTTGAATAAACTGATGTACATAATAATTGAATAATTTTTATAATATTATTGCAGTTATAAAACAATTAATTTAACTACATATATACATAGTTCATTCAGGTATGTATATATTAGTTCTACATAAAAAATTTTTCTTCAAAACAAAATTTACAATTATTTCCTTTATATAGTTGCCTCATCTTTTTCTCTGAATGAACAATATGTTTAAATGAGCAATATATACAAATAAAATAAGAGCGTTACGTATGTTATATAAGTAGCTGAATTGCAACACAAATTATGTGAACAACTTTAATGCCAAGAATTAGTAAACACGATAAATAAGTCGTCAGCTATAAGTATGACCTCACTAGATCAAGCTTGCAAATACAAGCGATAGCGATGCTTGTGCAATATAATAAGATTTGACTTATCATACATACATATCATACATAGTTAATTAACATAGTGTGCATACGGACGGACGTTTCACGAAAGCTCCAGGTGACCGGATAACTATTACCCGCTTCCTGTACGCAGCAGGGACAGGTAAAGTAGCCGTGAAAGAAGAAGAATGAAATAGATGTGAAAGTCGCAATGTCAGGAGTCATAAATTCAACTATAGATAATGCGATGTAAACAACAGAGCGTACTTCTCATTCGCTTCTATTATCCCGTCAGATAAAGAGAAGCGACGCAACGAAATATTTCGCAGCGCAAGAACCGAGAGTTCCAAGGCAACGTTTCGAAAGCTATTATCCTCTAACCGTAAGAGACCAGAGAGGACGGACCCTTTCGTGTGACGTAACCCTATTCTGTTCCATTTAAGTTAGCTCTTGGGTTCCACGGTTTCGACGTGCTCATCCTAACAACGTGCCCAGAAGATCGCCGTTCTGAGATTCACAACGTAAACACGCAACGTAGTTTCACTTCCAATAAATCGCCCAACACATATTTATTATCAATTTTATCGGCTAAGTGTAAAATAAAGTTTATTGCCAGCAAAATTTTTCGGTATGTATGACAAAAATAAATATGCGAATATGGAGATTATTCAGTGATTAAACAGAGATCAACCATCTGCTTCTTCTCCCAGTTAACAAATCTTATATCAATAATCAAGTTAATTGTGATTATCCTGGAGAGGTGAATATAAAAATTAAATTCAGAAGAAATTCTCTTTTATTCAAAACGAGAGGGCGTATCTCTCTCAATGAAGTTACATAAGTGACTATACATTAAATGTTCACGTTACTATAAGTGAAGTAAGCAAACGATATTTCATATCAAAATGTTATCTTTTTTTTGCTTCGTTGTTTGTTAAAGAAAAACAGAAATTGCTTTGTTACGTATTACATGAAAGAGCAATCATAAAGATGTACGATCGCTCAAGGGATGGCAATCATACGGAATTAATTTTTATAACGACAGATTTAATTAACAGAATTACAAATAATGAACCCGTATTGAATGTTCAAACACACATAACAATTTTTGTGATAAAAGCATACTCGAAGATTACATTAATATTATATTTAACAATTTACTGCTACGTAAAAATAAAAAGTAATTTTTCTATTATATTGATAATGTCATGTAGCACTTAGGATTGATCTCTGAACTGATCTGCTATTACCAGCATTATCAGTGTACCGTTAGAAGTCTGATAGATTTTTTGCAAACAATTAAAAGTATCACAATTTTTTCTGAGTGTTCTTTTTGCTCGACATCATGACATTTTTGAGTATTTCATTTCAAAGCTTTACATTTCGCTAAAACTAAAATTGAGTTTTTTTATTATCGGATTTTAGAAAAATTTGTTCACGACTACGCTTGCGGTGGAAAAGTAATGCGATATGCACAGTAAAAAATAATATATGTATACAATAATACTATACAATATCATCGCGGCGAGGAAAAAATAAAAATTAAATTCATTTAAATTTTTTATGATTACGATCTATTCATACAAGATCAGTTATGCAATACATTTATATGTGCAAGTCGAGAAAATCTTGCACAGTGAAACAGTCGATATAATTTTTAAATATTAATAAAAAATAAAGATAATGTGTGTGTTTGCTTGAATTAGAAAATCAAAGTGGCGCCGTTATGGAACATATTCTAGGAAAAAATATAAATTTATTATATGTCACCACTTAAAATTTCTTTTTATTAATTTTTTTTATCTAATCCATATAAATACGAGTATTTTATTTTATATGCGTTTATCGTAGCACATCACAATGACTATTTATTCTCAAATCAAACTTGTATTATCGACAGGCGTCGCAGCTGACTCGTCGCGAAATTGACGTATCCCATTGTCGAAAAATGATTTTTCGCCACCAAATAAATGAAAAATGTACGCGCTGTAGCCGATGTGAAGTAAACGAATGCCAATGTATGTGAATCCGATCAAATGACAATTCAAGTCGGAAATAACCGTAATTTTCTCGATATATCATAAACGTGCAAATCTGCGATCAAACAGATTTCCTGAACTTTCAGATTTTTATTTTTAATACTGCATGTGTCTAGATTTCTTAAATTCATGCATAATATACGTAATTGTGAGGACCACTTGGCATGACAAATGCTTCGAAACATATAATTAACAATCGGAAAAAAATATTTTACTAACTGATCAATCAAAAAATGCTTTAAAACACCAAATGGATTGTAATCTGTAAGTCTTATTTCTTGCGACAAGTTTTTCGAATGTGTTGATTCGCTGTCTTTTTTATCTGACAACCAATTGGCAAGTTATTTGACAAATAATTTGACATAAACTTAAAAATAAAAATAATTGCAATCATGTAGACTGAATAATTATACTGAATAATTATCTTCCCTATTTGTCTTTTTACAGATACGCGTATAACGGTATAAATTTGATATAAAAATGGCAAAAAAAATATTTGAACCTTTACTTCAATTATGGCCTCAGTGGTTCGCAACTCTAACAGGTTAGTTAATTCATAAAATTCAGTGCAACTTAAGATTTGCATATAACACAAGATTGATATATCTCCATGTATCTCATAAATTTTCTACAAAATTACTGAATTTGTATTAATTTCTCATCACATATAACAAAATGTTGTGCTTTAGTGGCCTTGTTGACCTTCAATATTGGTCTCGCAAACGGTTGGACTTCGCCTTACTTGGCGCAACTGACCGACGAAAATGCGCTGTTTCACGTAACAGATGAAGAAGCGTCTTGGATAGCCTCTCTATTACCACTCGGGCGCCTCTTAGGCGCCGTCTTTGGACCTCTCATTTTAGAATGTATAGGCAGCAAGATGTCTATCCTGTCAACAGGATTACCGATGGTCGTCAGCTGGATTTGCATAATATTCGCGACTTCCTCTACGTGGTTGTACATTTCAAGAATACTTTCAGGTAACAGTGATCATAGTCATTTATCACAACATAAGATAAATTAATTCATCAAGTTCTTCATAGTGCTAGTTAATCATATTGCTAGTATTTTATTCATTAATTTTCCAAATAATCCTTCTATTATCTTACATTCTGATGTTCAAACAATTGCTTTCAATTTGGCGCCCATTTTACAGGATCTCATTCCTACACTTAACTATAAACTAAATCCGGAATCTATGTAATTTTACATCTATTGCAAAATTACATCATCTTAATCAGGTACAGCAATGGGAATGATAGTCAGCAGTTATCCGCTTTATATCGGTGAAATTTCGGCGCCATCAATCCGCGGCGCCTTGGTATGTCTGATTATGAACGGATTTCCCGTAGGCATATTCTTTGGTAATATAATGGGTCCCAATATGTCAATGATGAATTTCAGTATCATTAGCTTGGTAATGATGCTATGCCACATGGTTATTTTTCCATTCCTGCCACAGTCGCCATATTATTACGTACAACACAATGACACTAAGAGGTGAATACGATTTGTTTAATTGCTTCACAAAACAGATATTCAAAGTTATGTCTGATTATGTCGTTATGTTTAATGAGTTGTGATCTTGTTTAAAAAAAAATTAATGTTTTTCCCATTTAATAACAGTATTTTATTTAAATTTAATTCTATACAATGTGATAAAAAAAGAAAATTAATGTTTAAAGCGACGGATTTTGTTCAATATTCAGTGCAGTAACATTTCGATAGTTCAGTATTTAACAATAATACAGTATAGTCATATATTCTCAAATAATGTAGTGCACATAAACTGTAAACGTAAATAATTTATGCAACTGCAAACATAACTTTATTAATAACAGGGTACATTATTTATCATTATTAATATGGATATCAAATGCTTTAAACAGAAAGGAAATATAAGTTGTTTAAAAGTGTTTTTAAAAGTTCGTTCTATTTTCATATTAATAACTCAGTTCTCTTAAATTCATGTTTAAATCATTCTTCTTGATATTTACTAATTATTTTTTAATTATTCTTCTTGTTATTTAAATTTTCTTAAATAATGCTATGTAACTTTTTATACAAATTAATTTTTTCAATGTTATATATAAAAGTATTAAGTAGATCTTAGAGAGAGAGAGAGAGAGAGAGAGAGAGAGAGAGAGAGAGATGTGTATTTCGTATCAAGTATAAAAATGTTTTATTCTGACATATTAACTTTTTGATAAAAAGTCTTTCATGTGCACAATAAGATTTAAATGATTCATGTGAACAAGAAAACAGGAGTATTTAATTTTCTATCAATAATAAGATTAGAAACAAGACTGTTTATTTGAATAAGTCCGATTGCACCAAAATGTTACTTTGACTTTGAGCGAGGCTTAAAACTCTCACTTTCTCTCTTAGAGAGAAAGAAAGAGGGTAAGCCAAAAAGTTTTAAGCCTTGCCAATGTTGGTGCAGTCAGGCCTAAATTGACTAAATATAAAGAAGCAAAATAAACAATCAAGAAGCAAAGATAAGTATACAAAAAACGAGCTATTCAACAAACAGCATATTGTGTGTGTGTGTGTGTGTGTGTGTGTGTGTGTGTGTGTGTGTTTTTACTATAAGAGAGTCCACATTATAATGAAATTTATCTAAAACAGTTTTCAATAAATAAATGGAATATGACACAGAAAAAATTGTCGTTGCATCCCATCGCACAAGAGAATCAACCAATTTTTAAAAAATATGATTCCAAAAACTTTGTTTTTTTTTAATAAACCATGTTTTTTTTTGTATATGAATAAAATTAATGTAATATATTTAAATATTTTATTCCTATCACAATTTTTTAATTTATACAATTAATAAGATGTGAAAGTACAACTGTTTTACAAAATTCAAAGAATGTATAAAATGCATTGATATCATGAAATTAGTAATCATGCAAAAATATGATTTTGAATTTTTTTTAATATTTAATTCTTTTAATTCTTTAAAAAAAAAAATATTTACT